TTAACCAACGACTTCATTGTCATTACCGTCACCATCATCCTTCACATCCTTTAGTCATCCACTAACACGACATCAACAGAAAAGAGCAGCTGTAACCCTCCGCCCTCCACCACCCACTTGCCACCAGAGCTCTGTTTCATATGACGAGTTTTTTTTTCTCTCCTACTTTAGGAGTGGGCAACGAGACAGAACAAGTACCCGTCCCATTTGAAACATGTATCCCGTCTCATTTGAATACCAAACTTCATCCCATGTCTCAAATCCGTACAGGTAATGGTACCCGTTAATCCGTACATGACAGATAATGAGTACACGCAGGTAACCCATACCTAGCCTCCAACGTTCCAATGAACTAATTTAGTGATCTGTCCACTTTGGTTACATGAGAATAAAATCCCTATTTAAAGAACCACAACATACATGAGATTGCAACCTATGGAGTTCGGACACCTACCATTTTGTAAATTCATAACACATCACTACTTTCAAGCTGCTGCTTCCCTTGAATAAGGCAAAGAAGACATACCTCAAGCACTTTGTCATTTCATCCTGTGATTGTTCATCGCTACTGATATGCTCGTGAAGCAAGCATGTCCTAGATAGGGTAGAGTCTATGGGTCATTATAGTTGAGCGGGTAATACGGGTACCCGTAATATTCGAATGGGTATTAACGGATAACCTGTGGGTACACATTGTAGAACATTTTGATCTAAAATTTCATTTCGTAAAAAAGAAAATAACAAGTATTTGAGTACCTGTAACCCTAAAAAAAAAGAAACAACTATAAGTATACTCAAATATCTGTTTCTCGTCCCTATCCTACTTCTCACCTCACTATAATTCCTCTCTAGAATACGAGAACTTTAATCCCCTTATTATATTACTTTTGACCTACAAAAAGAGGAGGGTTGAGTGCTGCACGTACTTTTTTTACTTCTAGTTTTGATCATTGTGTTGTGTTGTGTCTATATTTGATCACCTATCACCCTCTCAAGAAAATCTGAACAAAGCTTTCTAATTTCTTTCAATATCTGGAAATCGGGAATTAGCAAACTCGGAATAAGCAATTATACTCATTTTTATGTAAGAGCTAGAGTTATTTAGATAGCATACAAGATTAAAGAGTGTTACAAAACTCCCTACAATTTGTTAGAAACCGAACCGAAAAATCTAGGGTTACCGATCTGGCTGAATCGCGGACTAGGTCGCTCTCTTTAAGACGTTCGCGGCACTGCCTCGTAATGCGCACAACAGACTATCAGCCGGTCGTCTCCAAGATAAAACAACCATTCTGATTTGTTGCTCATCGGTTTTGTGCGAAAAACCGGAGCTCTATAAATTCACTCTCTCTCGTGTTTCTGCTCTTCTGAGGTGTGTTTAGAGGGTCTGGGGCGTCTTCTATTTATAGGAGCAGAAAACCCGGAATATTCCCTCTTTCTTTGGGAATAAGTCATATTTTAATTAGGGAGATAATTACTCCCATAATTAAAATATAATCTATTAAGATAATTATTTCTAATTATCTCCATAATATTTCTTTTATTAATTATCCATCTTATTTAAGTATTATGGGAAAATACTGGATAATTAATTAGGAATTTCATTTATAGCTTTTCAAAGCTATTCATCCCAACAATCCCCCACTTGAATAGTTTTGAAACTATCTCTGAGCATCAACAGTTCCATAAGATCGGGCATAAGCTAAGGTATCGCGAAGATTTGAACCTTAGCGTAGTGGTTATAGTTCCAATTTCATAAGGGTGACTCGTAGTCTTGAACCCTATCTCAGACAATGTAGCACACCGGATCTTTTCATTGAGTGATATTCTCTCATAGGCCGTGCGTTTATGGCCATGCACGTTATCCCAGTTTAGTGAACTCTCTAGGAACTTTGTGCCTCCAAAGTTCCATAGGGAGCGGCCCCACTCCCACATTCACATAGGTGAGTCTATCAGAAGTACCCCCAAAGTAAAGTACTTCACTCCACATAGAGTATAGATCTCATTAAGAGTTTAACTCAACCTCCAAGGCTTTGGGATTCATACTTCAATATGCATGAACTTTTCTCAATATTACTCATGACTTGTTATTACCCATTGAACCTGTTTCTTGGAATCTCCAGTCTATCGGGTCGGGTTACCATCACTTGTAATCCATGGTTCGGTAGGCATAAGTCACATACCCTTCGTGGTATTTTTGGACTTTCTCTCTAGCTAGTCTTTTCGTCAAAGGACCAACTAGATTCTATTAGGATCTTACATGATCCACCCTCATTGCTCCTATCGTTAGGAGTTTTCTTACAGTACTGTGCTTACGAAAAATTTGTCATCTATTTTCGTTCTAGAACCGGTTCCCTTCTATTGCAATAGCTGCGGTGCTATCACAATTAATCAACTGCCGGAGGGATCGGTCTTTCCCATAAGAGAATCTCTAGTAGTGACCCTCTCAATCAACTTTCCTCTTTACTAGCCATTGCTAGTTCTATCATTTCTGATTTCTTAGTTGATTGAGCCAGGATCGTTTACTTCTTAGACTTCCAAGACATAGCTTCTCTATCGATGTTTAAAACACAGCCTCTTGTTGTCTTGGAGTCCTCTATAGGGTATTCTAATCCGCATCACTATACCCTACCAATACAACAAAAAACCGTTGACCCCTTAAGGTCTACAGTTCTCTTAAGGCATCTCTTGACCCCTTTCAATAGCATTTCAATGCTTCATACTAGGACAATCAGTAAGCCTGGCAAGTACCCCCACTATGTCGGGTCTCATGTTTATCAGTTGCCTCTCGCAGACTGTCGATGCTAGTATGTTCTTACTTTCTTACACCATATTTGGTGCTCTTAAAATTGTACTAGCATCTTCAAACATTTAGGCAAGTGTACGACTTGTATTTCTTATAGATCTTAACTAAACAGTTAGATTGATCTATAAAAAATTCTCTTTCACTGTCCTAGTCATTTGGATCTCTAAGTGAAACACTTGGATCCTTCTCATCAAGATTCTCACTCAACATGGTTTTTCACATTTATTCTTGTCATGAGTCTTTGCAACAAAGAAACATGTCTTTTATAGTGCAAGTGTCATTCTCAAGTTAGTAACAAATGCACTTGCCACTTTCATTCAAAACCATGAGAGAGAACCATCCATCCATGCCATGATTTTTAAAGTCTGTTTCAAAAAAAAAAACCATGATTTGTCTCACCATAGACTTTAAAAGCATGTCAGGAATAACAACCTTTTAGGTTGTCTCATTCTAGATTTCTTTATCTAAATCACCATTCACAAAATGCAATTTTAACATCCAGATCATACATGGATGTTATTCTAGATTTGGTGAATAGATATCAAGAAAATCTACAATTTTTTCCTTTTCGCCTTAAGTCTTAACTACTAGGCGATCCTTATACTCATAAACTAAACCATTAGGTTTCAGTTTTCTTTTGAGAATCCATTTATTACCTTTGCTTCATTGCCAGGAGGTAATTCTCAAAGATGCCAAAACTTGTTCGATTTCATCGATATATTACCTAAGGCTTTACAACCAAAAGGTAACTCTACAAGTTTCTAAGTCTTATTAGACTCTCATTATTTCATTTTATTAATAATGGCTTCTTCCCACAAATCTGCACCTTACAGAAGTTTGAACTTCTAGCAGACTTGTAGGATCGTTCTTAGGGTGTAAATAACAAACTCATAACCAAAATCCTTTATCGATTTATGGTTTGTTTGCTTCTTCTGAGTTCATACTCAGATTCACCACCCCCACTAGTTCCATTATTTCTAATAGTATGTAGGATATCACCCCCACTATTTCTTAATTCAAATGAAAATTTATTGGCATTAATGGACTCCACAACACAATGAGTATTCATTTCATAAACTTATGTGTTTTACAATAACTCACACACTCATATGCTCTTCTAGTTATCATGCTACACTGATTCTCTAACTACCACATGCATCCCACATAACGAATAATCAGTGCAATTATAATGCAATTAGGCATTTCAAACCATTTCAAATAACTAGTCAGACAATCAGAGCACTCTAAAGAGCAATAAATTATTTATTGTCTTATCCATCAAGTTTACCCATATCAACATAAATCAGATCTATTGATTCTGATTCTCTAACCACATATTTATGGGTCATTTAGCTTGGATATACAAATCATATTTTTCTCAAGCATCCAATAATAATATGGGAATGCGATTAAGATAGTCTAATTCTTCACACAGACACTCTTGGAAGAATTTATCTTATCTACTTAATCATTCCTTACATCTAGGATAGTCAATGACTTTCTAGAGGCATGGTTCTCTTCCACTTTTCCAGAACCATCAACAATAGTGGTGTGGGTCTTGCCCAACAACACTTTCTCCTTCAATACGCGTCAATGTATGATTGAGCTTAGCTCGTTTATCACACACATATCTTGAAGCGGTCCTATCCAACAACCATTTTTCAGAGTTACCATTAAGGCTAACCTCTGTCATCACCTCGGTGAATATTATTACCAAATCCTCTTCTTTAGTCAAGTTAACACTAGGTTAAACTTGATCTTACACTTTCGTGTCTTATGATCTAGTTTCTCACAAATTTAACAGAGAAACATAACGTCATTCTTAGTGGATTGGGTGACAATCTTATGGTTACCACAAAGGGTACCATTCTAATTGGTGTGGATCTGGTTCAGCTTGCTGCTCTCATTCTTGAAATTTTAATGTTTCACAGCAACCTAAGTGGTTCGTGTAGTACTGATAATAGTACTTCTTATAATATCGTTATTATGGGTAATAAACCCATTCTATTCCCATATATTCTTCACATATATGCATGCATTTAAACAAAATTATTCTACTCCACAACATGTATTCAATTTATATTCTAATCATCGAGATAATACACCTCAATGTCGACATATATATACATGCATCTAGATTGCTTTCTAGCATTCACAAGATTTTTCAATTTCATGCAGAAATTCATATGAAATTGATTCAGTTAATCATTCATTAATGACTCATGAAAAGGTTTAAGCTCTTACCTCATTTCGAAGAGGTTATTACTTTCTGGTTTCACAAGGAATAACTAGCACCACGTGTAGGCTGTAGCTCCCTTGAATCTCCACTTTAATTGCCCACCATGCTCGGTCATCCTCTTCTCCGAGTCTAGCATCACTAGTGATGCCACAGCCAAGCGGCTGAATTTCTCAAGAGTGTTCGTGTGGCAGACTCTCTCTTGCTTCCTCTTCAAGAGCAACAGCAGAAGAATCAGCTCCCCAGTTCCTTAATGCCGCACCAAACACCTTCTCAATCCTCAGAAATGGATTCTCATCATCCCTCTTGGCACTATACCTATACGTCCTCGTCCCAAGCAGGAAGATAATGAGCGCTGCAACCATCACGAGACATGGATCCCGAATCCGAGCCCCCAGTTGACGTTGTCCAAGGGCGGGAACTACGGCTGATAGAGTCAACAACCCGAGTCCCAGAACGTAGCCAATGGAAGCAACAATTATGGTGCGGTACTTCCCGAGGAAGGAATCCGCGATGAAAGCACCGAGGAGAGGCAGCAACGATGCAACTCCGGACCAAGCGTTGACGTTTGCCGTCGCGACGGTCGTTGACTGGCCGAGTGGCCCCGTCAAGTAAGTGATGATGTTGGATCCGATCCCGTAATAGGCAAATCTCTCCGCAACTTCCATGCCGAAGATAAAAGTGGCAGATCTCCAACCGCCGGAGCTTGAGAGGTGGACGGGGCGGCCTTTGTAATCGACGGCTTCATCAACGGTGTCGTCGTAGAGAAGTGGAGTTTCTGCGTCAGTGAATCCACGATCGGCGGCGGAGGTGGACATGGTGGCTGGATCGCCGATTTTTATTCTCGCTTCACAACACCAGGTTCTCGCAACCACCAACCACTGCCTTGCGATGAGGATGAACTGCGCATGGACAATCACAACCCAGCATTTTGCATAGCTTTTCTTATGGCAGAGGCGATGAGCGACGGCCAAATCCAGTAATCTGTTCGATTCACTTAACAACAACGCAGCGTCTTAAATTTGTTAGAAACCGAACCGAAAAATCTAGGGTTACCGATCTGACTGAGTAGCGGACTAGGTCGCTCTCTTTAAGACGTTCACGGCACTGCCTCGTAATGCACACATCAGACTATCAGCCGGTCGTCTCCAGGATAAAACAGTCATTCTGATTTGTTGCTCATCGGTTTTGTGCGAAAAACCGGAGCTCTATAAATTCACTCTCTCTCGTGTTTCTGCTCTTCTGAGGTGTGTTTAGAGGGTCTGGGGCTTCTCCTATTTATAGGAGCAGAAAACCCAGAATATTCCCTCTTTCTTTGGGAATAAGTCATATTTTAATTAGGGAGATAATTACTCCCATAATTAAAATATAATCTATTAAGATAATTATTTCTAATTATCTCCATAATATTTCTTTTATTAATTATCCATCTTATTTAAGTATTATGGGAAAATACTGGATAATTAATTAGGAATTTCATTTATAACTTTTCAAAGCTATTCATCCCAACACAATTTATTAGTAGAAAAGTAAAAAAACCATGAACATCATAATATGAATGAAGTACTGGGATACAATATTATGAATTGTGTACAATTATTGTTATGTTTTGTGTCCTAGTCTAGAGTCGATGAGATCCACACTATATTTAAAAGCTACTCAACTTAATACTTTTCAATACAATAAGGAGATTTAACGGTCCACCTTCTAGACTAATTTGATTTTATTAAGTTGTCCTTTCCATCGGGTATAAATCTCAAATGCTCTATAACTTAAAATAATGGGTCCATATCTTGTATCAATTTCAAATTTATTTGTTGATTAAATAATAGCCCCGAAGTGGGAGACTTAAAATAAACTACCACCTCACCTGGTTAGCGAAATAAAAGATAGCATTAAAACCTTTGACGTAATTATATTTTATTTAATTTTTATATTGATATTCATTGCAATCTATTTTAGAGAGTGGATTCCATATTTTCAAAAACATCACCACCAAAGGCGAATAATGACTTGGTCAAGTGGTATTGTCTTGTCACTAGTTTTCAATTTGAAAATTTCGGATTCAAATCTCTTCAACTTCAGTAACACATTAAAAACATCCCTATGGGAAAAACAATTATCAAGAAATATTTCATAAGTTGATCCATGTGCATCCAGACGATCTAAATAAAACTTCATACATAAGTAACATAACCTCTCAATAAGTTTTATCCCTAACATCTCATCATGCATGATTCAACCGAAAAGGTAATAAAAAAGTAGTCCAAATAGTTCCAACCCCGGCGCAAAGTATCAAGGCAGCAACAGAGACCCTCTTGAGTCAATCTATATAAAGTGTCGTCCGTTTTTACACGGGCCAGCTTTTTACGTATGAATTGACCCCCTCTCCAGTCTCCATGGATGTGTGAGTTCCTTTATGTTTCTTCTTCTTCCTACGTCTTACCGTGGGAAAGTGTAAATCCAGAATTTCCCAAGAACGTCAAAAGAGCGTTCTAATTTGATCGACATGTAGCCTTCTCGATCGATCGTAGGTCGCTAAATATTTTTATACAACGTTTGGGTATCGATGTTAACCCGGCGGCGGCAGGAAGACTGAAAAGCAAAGCAAAACAAGACAAGACAAGGGTGACGCCAATTTCTAGGAGCCCTCAAATTCAAGGCTCCTTTGACGCGAGATTTGGTACTTTCTTCTTTGGATTCGTCACTCGCCTCGACAGACAAGAGTGTTTAAAATATAAAAAGTAGTTGATATTTATTTGATAAGACAGACGTATTTGGTTGGATTCATATTATAGTGTTCTACTGATTGCGCGGTTGTGCCTGACCTTGTTTAGGTATCTGTAATGCAAAGAGAATCTAATGCCAAGAACATACATCCAATAAAGCTGGATTTGCTCATCTAGCTAGGACGAGATAATTAGGTGGGGGTTTGTCACATGCTAATTAATCAAATTTTGTTTTATCTCTGATAGGATAAGTTGATTCAAGAGTTTAAGATAATTTATTCAGGATTCAATGTACTTACCAATAGATGGTATTTGTCTCAATGCATTTTGTTTAAACGACATATTATTATGTGAGATGTATTTGTATAAAAATTGTTCAGTTCAATATGTTCGTGTTGGAAATTTTGTCATCAAGGTTAAAAACTCTCAACGGGGTGATCAATTTAATTGAGCGAGTTTCCAAATATTTGTCCCCTAGTAATTAAGATTGCATTATTTTGATGCAGTTGCACTCAAATAAATAAATAAATTATAAAAAAAATCTTATGTGTTTGTTCAATAGGATGGATAATATACCACTTTTTACCAAAGAAAATGTGCTGGATATAAAACATTAGTTACATAAAGGTGTAAAATTCAAAAGCTACAGAAAGAGGTTTACACAAAAAGAAAATGTCCACCATAGTATTCAATCCAGAAAACTGAAAATATGCAACCTTTTAGTAAAGAAGATGCGTCGAATGTTAGAAGAAATTGATGGATGAACGTGTAAAACTTGAACAAGAAATAATTACCTGTTTGGACAATAATAAGTTTTCTTCCTTCTTCTTTCCTTGAAAGTACAATTTCTCAATCTAGCAAAAGTCGCTATAATCTTTATACAAAAGAATAGAAGGCAGCCATCTTTTTCCCATTAATAATTTTAATGAGTTATATTTATTTTGTTTTCAGTTGTATTTTTTATGAAGAAATTTGATTAATTATGCTACTAAAAATTATATAAACTTTGATATATTTTTGAAAAAAAAATATCGAGATATATATATTATCAGTTTATGTCCTGATAGTAACGCTTGGTAGTACACAAAATTATACCACGGTAATATGGAAATTATCATTGATAGTATGAATATATTATAGTGCAGAATGATTGCATACATAAATATATTTAACCTTAAAATTTGTATAAAAAAATGAGCCTAACATCTTATACACCTGAAATTCATTGAAGCTTAGAATTTGCTTGTAAATTCATCATGATACACCTACTTGGTTTAGAGGAGCTGAATATTCTTAATTTAGGCGGTGTCCAACAAGTAATGCGTAGCAGAGTCAATGAATTAAGACCTGCAGTCTAATTACATTAATTCGGCTCCTGGTACTTTTAATTCCATCCAGCTAATTAAGCCAGGACGGTGCAGCAGCAGGCAGTTAATTAAGTTATTGACGCGGCGGCGACTTCATTTGTCGATCCGCCAAGAAACCCATCTATAGACTGTATGCTGCTATTCCCCCCTCCCCATAGAAATATATGTCCTCCATGTGTATCCATGACCGTTTCTAAAAGGGAAGAGGCAAAGAAGAAGCCAACAAAACAATATACTAATCGTGTACTCTGGGTAAATTAGAACACCATGTTGACTGAATTTATATATTGGTTGTACTTTACGAGTTTCCATTCCTGGAATCTGTTTAATGAATAAGGGTTGGAACGCCCTTAAAACGCTGTGATTTAGATGTGTGGGGGGTGGGGGAGAGAATTGAAGCTAACATGTGGTTGGAAAATAGAGAAAGAATGTACAAAGTTTGACATCCCGACCCCAAGGCGGAGGCTAGTATGGTTGTCGGTGGTGAGAATTCAAGTACTCGTGTCGTGTGTGACCCAAACCCCAACTAGGATCTGACTCAGTCAGCTCAGTGCGGGGCCCACCTTGCATTTCTGGAATGCCGCCTTCCTCTTTGATGTGATACGATGTCGGAGGAGGCTGTCCCTGGTCCCATTCCAATTCGGTTCTACCTCTTTTTGTCTTCTACCAAACTTTTATTTTTGAACGTAATTAAAAAATAGTTTAACGCAACAAAATTGCTATTATATCATATGTTACCGTGTATTCGTTTTTGTTCCATAACATTCACATAATATACTGCTACAAATTGGACAAACATAGTAAGCAATGTTTCCTAATCGAGAATGAAGGAGATAAGCTCTGAGCCTGGTACATGCTCACGATTTAGGATAGGGTCAGTAATCATTGGTTACTAACTTATGAGTCATTAAATCGGGACCTTTAGATCTAAGTGGATCCAGAAAATTCATATCTAAAGGTTGTCAATTCAAGACATTTTATTTTCTCTAGTTTTCTTAATCGGCTCTTATCTTCTTCGTTCTAACTCGGATTTCAATTTTTTTTTTTTTTTGCATAGATGGAACTAGTTGTTGTGCTCTACAAAATGAGATCAATTTTCAATATATTACGAGAAAATTTTTTTTTACCAACTACATAGTATATGGTAACTTCTTCGTTTTTAAGTCGTTTTTTAAAACGTTTGCTCAGAAGAAACGAGCTCATCATGATCTATTGGATCTATATTTTTCTGGGTGAAAAAAATATTGGATAAAAAATTACCATACTTTACCACTATGGTATGTGGGTGGTAACTTGTGATAACTTATAGTAAACAATGATGAAAGTCGTAAATGATAGTTAGTATACTCCTACTATCATGTATTCAACATTCTTACCATATTGGTATGTTCATACTATCATGGTACGCTTTCTTACCATATGGTATTAAATAGGAGCATATGATAAAAAATGATTCAATTTTTTTGTACTAAAAATATATCAAAGTGGATATCATTTTAAAAAGCACGTTTAATCTGATTTATCTGTGCAAAAAAAATTAAATTTCGACTTAAAAGGAGAGAGAAATCGTCCGTTAAAGATTAAAGGGGAAAAGATAAAAGACTTTTCAGGAGAGAGAAGATACTTATCTCATGCTGCTGTGGACAGGTTACTCATAGTTACTGACCGTTGAGTTACTGACTTGATCTGTTCCTCATGCTCACGGCTCAACTCAAGATACACTGCATAATTATGGGTTATACACCAATCAGTAGCTAAATCTGAACTCTTCATGTAGAAAATCCAGATTTAAGAGACAAGAATTAAAGTTCTTTTTATTTTTCATTTGTTTTCTTAATCGACTCATATCTTCTTCATTTTAACTTGGATTTCAATATTTTTATACAGATGGAACGAGTTCGTTGTGCTCTACAAAATGAGATCCATTTTCAATATTTTTTTAGAATAAAAAAATTCGGGCCTCTAGGTACCAACTGCATACCATATAGTATCTTCTTTGTTTTTAATTCGTTTTTGAATTTTTTTGAAAAGAAGAAACGAGTTCATCATGATCTATTGGTTCTACAAATTTCTTGGTGAACAAAATACAAGAAATATTGGTAAGCAATGTTTCCTAATCGAGAATGAAGAAGATAAGCTCTGAGCGTGAGGACATGCACAATACGTACTCACTAGGCTCGCTAGTGTATATCGAGAACTCGAACAATAGCCTTCCAAAATAATAGGACAAGTTTTACAAATTTATTTTTGTCTAAGGTTAAGCCATATATAAATTAGGATTATTAACCATCTAAACATTAGAAATCAAAATACCATTTGCGATGGAAACTGTTGAAAGAGTTTTGTACCAAAAATATGTAGATCTTTCGTGAAATTCTCGAGAGAGGGTGTGTCGAACGACACACCCTACCTTGCCTTAGGTCCGCCACTGCCAGAACGGGTCCCACTCTCATTTTCTAGAAAGAGCCTCCTCCAAAAGAAGGCCATAGGTAAATAAATGGGAACCAAAATTGGTCACTACTCTCGACTCCCCAGCCCGTTGAGGTGATAGAAACTATTTTAAAAAAGTAATTATGACCGGTGCCATTTTTTTCCTCCATCGGTTGGCGAAGAAGAGAGCGATGGCCGATGGCCTCGACTGGATGGATGGTAGGAGGAGGGTTGTCCTCATCAAACTAACACTATGTTTGGCAACAAGGGGGGTGCAAGTTCGAGGGGGTACAAGTTGAGGGGTAAATTGTTGGGGGGTGCAATTTGGTGGAGGGTGTAAGTGGAGGGGTAAATTGTTGTTTGGATGAAAAAGTAGGGGGGTGCAAATAGAGTAAAAAGTAAGTAATTATATTATTATAAAATAGATTTATCAATTTATAAAATATTATCACAAACATGAAAATTCAATATATAATAATAAAAATAATAAATAAAAATAATTTTAATAAAAATAATTATTATATAATAATGCTCAAATATAATTATTTATAACAACAATAATAATCATTGGTCGAGCAACCTCGAAACTCGAAATCCAACTCGTAACTGGTCATCCTAAGGGGGTTCTCGTGCCTAACTTTAAATTGAATATGGTCAAACTTAGTCAAACACGTTCGAATCTGTAAGCTTTAACTACTTATTAAAGTAAATCGAGTTAACTAAACTGTTCCTCTCTATCTTTTCAACAAATGCTTCTTATCTCTAATTTTCAATGCAAATTCGGGTCAACTAAGAGATATCGATTTGACGAGGCGAATATTGACAAACTTGCTCTCTGAGTCAAACGGTCAACCCCAAACAACTTCTACACTAATATAGATATAAGAAAAATTAATAATATTAATTATTATGTAATTATAGTCTAATTAAAAATTCATAATTCCCCTCCTCCCCCTTCCCCCTCCCTTCCTTCCTTCCCTTGCACCCCAATTTGGGGGGTAAACCGAAACAGTGAATTTACGCTCACGTTTTGCACCCCCCTACTGTTACAAAATAACCAAACGGGGGTAAACACCTTGGAACTTGTGTTTACCCCTCCAAACTTGCACCCCCTTCCATTTACGCCCCTTCCCAAACATAGTGTAAAAGTTACTAACCAAAGACTTCATCGTCATTACCGTCACCATCATCCATCCACTTACACCACAGCAAAAAGAGCAGTAACCCTTCGACCTCCACCACCCTCTGTTTCATGGCGGGTTTTTTCTCTCCTACTTCTTCTTCTTCTTACCTCTCTAGAATACGATCGAGAAATTTAATCCCCATACTATATGACTTTTGACCCTACCAAAAAGAGTAGGGTTGGTGCACTTTTTTTCTTCTCTTTTTTACTTTTGATCATTGTGTCTATATTTGATCATCTAGCTACCACCATATGAAGAAACACTAAGAACAGAGGAGCTTTCTAATTTTCTCCAATATCTCGACCTCTACGTGGCTCTCGATCGATTAAATCATTCATGACGGTTATTCATAATTTGTTAATAGAATTTTGTTAGAGGACGGAGAATTCAATGTTAACTTAGAAATTAGTAAACTCATAACGAGTAATTAAATACATTTTTATGTAAGATCTAATATTATTTATATATTATTCAAGATTAATGTGTGTGTTACAAAACTCTCTACAGTTTATCGACAGATAAATAAAACCATAAACATAAATTATTGGGGTCGATTATTATGAACGGTGTACAAATATTGTTATTTTTTTTATCCTAATCTAGAGTTAAGTCTCAGGACCCACCCAATTGCATGGTGGCTCTGTTTTTAAGCCACTAAACTCAATACTTGTCAATACAATAGAGATTTAATGGTCCAGCTTCTAGACTAATTTGATTTTATTTAGTTGTTCCTTTCCGTCTCATGTTAATCTCAACTGTCTATAATTTATAATAAATAAAGGGTCAATATCTTTTATCATTTTTAAATTTATGTATCCATTAAAAATTTATATTATGTGATTTTTATACTAATATTTATTATGTTGTACTTTAAAGAAAATATTCGATATTTTCTTAAAAGGGCTTACAGTCGTCGTCGAATGTCTCATCTCCTTATCAAAATTGTACAATTCATACCAACATGATAAAACTAATACCATGGTGAACATCAACCATAAAAATTGACGTCTCCTTCTAACAAAACCATCGCTTGTCAGATATTGTTATAATTGGCGGAAGAAATCTCTGATCACCGATCAAGAGCCCGATGTTTGAGCCCCAAATACCACGGGCAGAGACCTGAGGAACCTTAACGGGAAGAACGTGACCATATCCTACTGGAATGAAGTAGAACACCGACGAGCTCCAGACCAATGCACACAATGAGAAGACCGTTGCAACTCATGGTCGACTTGTTGGGTAAAACAAGTAGGTAAAAATGAAGGTTTACAAACAAGAAGACAATCTAGAAAATGAATGGCATATTCCCTTTGTCCATTGAACAGAAACTTCCACAAAACTTTCTAGATCTGGAACCAAAGTCCAAAACAGAGGTTGGAGTTTGAAACAATCATCTCGGTGGAAGAAGCAAACTGAAAATAAACGAACTACAAAAAGGGACAAATGCAATGGAAGCCCAATTACCCTAAAATGAAAAATAAAAAGAGCATGGTTTTGGATAATCTATGAACATGTAGTAACATGGCCTATGCATCCCTCCCACCCTTGTATCTACGTGCTGGAATGCCCCCTGTGCTCAACTCATGTTTATCCATTTGCCCTTCCTCTCCTTTTCAATACAAAAAACTCAACTCCCTTATCTAGATGGGATTTTACCCAATACCATACCCCAAACAGAGATGGGCGCAAGTGGTTTCTGAATACTGTTAGATAGGAATTGGCTCTCTCTCTCTCTCTCTCTCCTCTGCCTTCCTGTTTTGGTTATGTATCCCTCAAGTGGGTAGTAGGGTAGGAAATTTGGTCATAAACGTTTGAAAATGATGGTGCTGATAATTTAAATAATAAGATCCAGATCCTAGAGATGATGAATCAGTGAAATGTGGTCCTTCACCTTCTGCAGCCTTAGCCACACATCATTCTGATTGCAGTTGCAAGTCGACTCGACTCGACTCTTTAGATATTTCAACGGTCGCCACTAGGTGCCACTGACGTTTACATTCCCCTAATCTTCACCAAAACTTGTCTCTGATTAAGCTCTGACAAAAAAAAAAACAAAAAAAAAAAAAAACTGATTAACACCGTCCACAACCATCGAATCTGCGGCTCAAGTTCTTGCAGGTAGCAACAGAACTCTACACAAACGATGGATATTCATAGACGTGCAGATAAACCAGAGGATGTTGTCAAGTTAGTTCAGAAGATGCAGGAGGTAGATTAACATAAGAGCATTTTAATATATACAGGGGAAACCCCTTCATTTCAGTCTGGATCTTACATGGCGAACAAAAAAACAAACCACCCTATACATAGATACTTCCGATCCAGACTTAAAATCCCACTGTGGATTACACAAAGCCATCCATCCACCCACCCATAAGCTTGAAGAAGTTGACACAAGTTTAAGAACAAAAGGTGGAGATTTAAGGACGATCTGAACTATAGTTATAACGTTCTACAATCCACTGGTAGCCATTTCTGCCCTCTGGCGCCGCATTCGAGCTGCCCATGACATGTTATCACTCCCGCCTACACTCCTGCCCGCGCTTCTTCTCTTCAACTCAGACACCTGAGACTGCCACTGATTCCTCCAGTCTCCTCTTTCACCAATTTCCTGCAGATTATCAAAACCCAAATCGAATCAGCCGCAATTCCTTTGAAATCTTTAGACTTTTAACAAGAATAAGCAAAAGGGTATCTAAAAGCATAGATCTTTAGACCTTCTGTTGACAGAGTAGACAGAACAGGGGAATTGGTACCAAAGGTAAATTCATAACAGACGAATTCTAAAACTCCCAAATTTGGTACCAAACAAAGAGACTGAGCAGATATGAAGTTGTTCACCCAACCCAATTCTCCTCCATCCCAAAATTCCCCAAAACCAGAGATGGAAAAACAGGGGATGGGAGACAAAATTACCTCGTCGTCATGGTATGAAGAGCGTCTCCTAGCGGAGAAGGCGAGGTGAAGCCCTCTGGCCATATCGCGGTCGTAGAGAGCCCTCTGCCGGGGATCCGACAGCGTCTCGTAAGCCTCCTGGACCCGAATGAACCTCTGGGTGTACTCCTCGACCCGATCGGGCGGCGAGACATCCGGGTGGTACTTCCTCGCCAGCTGCTTGTAAGCCAGCTTAATATCTCTCAGGCTCACCGACTCCGGTATCCCCAGCAGATCGTAGAAGCTCATTTCCGCCGCGGCGGTGCAGGCGGTTCCGCTCATGGTGGCCCTCGTCGTCCTGAAGGACACCATTGACGGGCGGCCCAGAGAAGGCCTGACCCGCAGAACCGGGTCGGGTAACCTGCTGGTGGTGGAGGAAGGTGAGGCGCCGAAGAGAGCGGCGTCGGTTCCTGGCATCGTCAATCCGCAACTCGTCATATCGATGGAGAGATAACGTGGTTATTTTTTCAAATTAGCGGGTTGGGTCTTCGATTGTGTTAGTTTGATTTGTGGGTTTTGATCAATTATGCTTTGCGAAGTTTCGATTTCAGGGAGAAGTTTCTGATTAGGGTTTCGTGTGGGAAAGAGGGGAAGGAAGGGAAATGGAAAGGTAATGGAAATGAGGTGTGAAGCGTGTTGGAGGTGAATGGAGGGGACGGAGGGGGATAATATATAGGGAGCTTTTGGGGGCAGGAAGTGGGAAGGTGATGTACAAATCAATGGATAATACTTTGTTTTTTAATCATTTTCTTTTTAATATTTTGTCGACCTAATATTTATTTTTTATCATTTTAGGCAGATATTATTATTGTCTATTATTATTTTTTTAACTTTCTCCTTTTGTGGGGAAACGATATAACTGAGAAGTAAGACAGTGATGTTTGTTTGTATAAGTATTAGTCGTTTTTTAAGAGTATCAGTAGTTGGACAGAAAAAATTTTATATTGAAGTTTAAATTGATAGATGATTTTTAGTGGTTTAAAAATATTGAAATCACTATTAAATCATAAATTTAAAGCAAAGTATTCTACCATTAATTATTTTCGTACAACTTTCGGTATGGATGATTTTTCCCTCGTTATTTTTGGTATTTAGGTCCTGTCATGCTTGTTCCCGTGTCTTTGATGGTGATGTCTTTGGGGATCATGCTGTGTCATGTGCTGCTATTGTGGGCATTAAGCATCGACATAACCTCGTTTGAGACACCTTACTGAACATCTGTTACAGGTCTGGGATTTCTATTGAAAAGAAGGTTGATATCGATTTGGTTGATAGGTATGGCGCTCCCCTTCGTCCTGCGGATTTGCTACTTTATTCCTAGGATAGGGGGCGAGATGTTCTTCACCTTTGAGTCAGATTGGGATGACCGATTTTGTGCCAAGCCAAATTGTTGCTGATGCCGCTCGGCGAAAATGTGCTAAGTATCGAGACTTGTACATGGCGGCTGGTTACGAGTTCCTGCCTTTTTCTTTCTCTACACTAAGAGAGTTTGATACGGATGTTGTGGCTTTGCTTAAGCGCATCCAGAAATTCTATGTGTCTTAGTATGCGGCGGCTCGGACTCGGACGACCGCATACATTTTCACTAGACTTAGCTTTCCTGTCGTTAAGGGAGTGGGAGCGCAGATTGTATCTAGGCTGCCCACTATTTTTCTGTAGACCTTTGTTTATCATTTATTGGGTATAATTAAAAAATAATTAAAAGTAGGGGAAAAAATATTTGTCACCATAAAAGAAAAAGGAGAGGAAAATATGAAATATGAATCGATACAAAAAAAAATGGAAATGTTGTTTGTTCTCTTCTCTTTCCTTCATTTGTTGAAATTTTTGTGCCGATTAAATTTAATTAATTTAAGTTCCTTCTGGAAAGGGAATTGAGATTTTGTTTTCGGTTTTATGTCGTAAGAAATGACACACACTGGAATTTCCTTTTTAAAAAGTTTGTTCCTTCTTTTCCTAGGGACAAAATTGAATTGGTCAATAGGCAAAGAGAAAATAGCACCAAACTCTATTAAATATATAGAAAGTATCAACAGTGTGCCGAATGTACTCCATTGTTATGCTGATGTATGTCAAATATCATTTGTGTTAATGAATGTTCCATTGCAGAAAATAAATGAAAGATATAAATTAAAATAATATTATCTGAAACATAGGAACACAAAATAAACCCTATATGTAAAAATTTATTTTAATTTAGACCCTGGTTTCTAGAATTTTGGATTTGTTTGGGTTTCATTAGCATCAGAATGTGAAAAATAAAATAACCAAAAAATTAATTAAGAAATAAATCTAAATCTAAATTTACATTTTATATCTTTATTAAATAATATTATGGTTATTATTTGGTTCATCATCATGTAAAAATAATGTTTGCTGAGTGATTTTGGATCAAAAAATATTAATTAATTCATAATGTGAAGTAGAATGATTAGATCTTTTGTATGTCGACGGTGAGGTGAGGTGGCTAGACAAGTCAATAAGTCATAGTAGGAGGAAGATCTAATTCGCCCTTCGAAAATCAAGTCAGATAGGGAGATCAAATGAAAAGAGAGGAACCATCAACGCATTGCACATATTCGTCGTACCTATCTTATTAGTCCTTAGATCACTTGGAGGCGAGTAGATGCAAGGCATTTATGATATTGAGGTGTCTTGTGTGGAGCCATGCGAGCAGTTTTATTCCCGGAAGGAGGCACTTTTTGGCGAGTTGGACCTTGACGATCACCATTTTTCAATGAAAATGTAATGAGCATTTGTAACATAATGTACATTCTCTCCTCGATAATAATCATCATAGTGGATTTTGTGGGTCAACACGTCCCATTTCCATGAAGTGAGATTAATCAATGACTAGAATGATGCTCATTTACTATTTTGTGGGTGTTGATCATCGATAATCCTTTTCTAAAACGGTTGATTAACACAATAGAGATTTTGAAATGAATGTCTGTGTACCAATAAAAAAGTCCAGCTTCTTGCTACTTACAAATGTGAAGCGTGTATAGATATAGCATTACTTAAAAACAATGGCTAAGCTTTTGTTTTATGGCCATGAGACAACATGACAACACTTAAATGATAATAAAGTAATACAAGGAAACACGTGACCCGGTGATCAAGTTGATGAATGATGATTGTACAGTAAGTATTTGGTGCCTTCCTTTTGTTTTGTAAAAATAATTATTTATGGAATATAATTATCAAGTTTAACATATACAATTATTTCCTAATAAAGATTAATACGATGCCTGAACAGTACAAATGGACTAATTACTACCGGCTAAAACAACATGTGCCGGCTGTTAATGGTATTTCCCAAATCATCAAATTAGCTAGACCTCCTAACTACGTTTGCTAGCTTATTTTATAAAAACAATGATGATGTTTGCGCGTATCTGCCGCTTAATCGCGCGCTGGAATAGGACTGCCACCGTCAAAATCCACCTTTTACCGCCACAAACCAGCTGCTGCCACCTCCGGAATCCGGCCGCCGGGAACTACAAACAATCTAGTAGCCGCCGCCAATATTAATGGATGATACATCCTGACGCGTTTGTGATATGCAGTTGACTCGGCGATTCTCAAGTTTACGTATCAACGTAGAGGAATTTTACAATGCTATATAGTATTGGTGTGATAGGTTTTCGTTTAATAATACAACTTGAAATTGTACCTTTAACATTATTGTACAACTTCAGATTATACCTATACTGATTGTACAAATTTTTTAATGGTACAATTTGAACTTGTACCTTTATGTGATGGTACAACTTCAAGTTGTAAAGTTGTACCATAACATAATGATACAAATTCTTTTATGGTGCAATTTAAATTTATACATTTCATGTTATGGTACAACTTTAAGTTGTACATTAAAGCACCAATACTATATAGCATAGTAGAAATGCTCATTAATTATGTAATCAAAACTGGAAGATCAATTTGAGAGAAGCAAAATATTTTATGACAGAAAGTATCCGTATCCCTTTTTTGCTTTGATTCAACTAGCTCGATTTTTTTAAAATAAAGAAAACAAACCAAATGAAGTTCAGAAAGAACCAAATCATATCTAGTGCAGCTTTATTCATACGGTTCTAAATAGGGGTGGCTATACGGTCCGGTCCGGTTAAATTGGCCCAAATTGATCCGGTCCAGTCCGGTAATTTTGAAAATATAAAGACCGAAGATTGGATTGGATACAGTCCGGTCTTGATCCGGTCCGGTTTTGATCCGGTCCGGTCCCAATTCGGCTTGATTTTACATTGAGATTGTGGGATTTGAGTGACCTAAAGCCTTAAAGGGTGAGGAGTTGGTTAAGTTTTGTACTAAGTGCAAAGGTTTGTGACCGTTTATGCAAATTACCCTTAAGTTTTGGGTGTTGAGCTCTCTTATCCGGTCTTTATCCGATTTTTTACCTCAAATCTAAGTCCAAAGATTCGATTGGATTGTTTACTATCCGGTCCCGGTCCGGTCTCGATCCGGGTTATACGGTCCGGTTTCCGGTTTTTAATCCGGTCCCGGTCCAAATAGCCACTCCTAGTTCTAACTCTCTATTTTTCATTATATCTATACCAACTTGGTGCGATTCCAAATTTAGAGATTGCTCGCCTAAATGGTTATTTTGTCCTTTATGATCAGGGCATAATCCATCAGTGATTCAAACTACCTTTTGAAAGAAATTCTAATGGGTCAGGTCGTTAGGATGAGGTAAAATCGATTTTGTTTCTAATCCGTGTAACACACTTCTAAGTATAATGCATAATAATTAAATAATTATGCAATAATATATATCTTAGATTTAACTACTCGTTATTGTACTATGAATCCTATTCAATTAATTTAGTTTATGAGGATTGCAAACTTATATTTAGTTTCATGTTTTTTTTTTGAGGGAATATTTAGTTTTATGTTTTGATGGAACCAAAAGCTAGTATTTTGAAAGAAAGAAGAAAAGAAGATTATTTTGAAGCAACTTTGTATATGTCAACGTCCGGATAACCACAAACATTAAGACAGCACGCAGCTTATCTAGCCAGGTAGATTATTCAATTCCTATAATATTCACTAGATCGTGCCCCGCCCGTTGGCCGGATAAATTACATAAATAATATAAAAGATATTAGTATTTGTCCAAATTAAAATACGTTTTTATTTGGTACCATTAAAAGAATCTACACTATTTAATTAGTAATAGTATAAATTGGGAACACACATTATAAGTTTTCTTATATCTTATCATTCATGGGCAACAGTCTTTAACAAATGGTTTAAAAAACTTATGCAGGGAACCAATTCCTAAGAAAATTAATAAGACTGCACTTCAAAATTACTACTCTTTGTAAAAAATCACTGTAAATCATTTTTCTAAAAAATACTACAAAACTTCTTTTGGATATGTTTTTGTGATTGCTTCATCATCAAAAGTATTATCTATCCATATGGCTTCATCTTCACTCATGAAACCTTTATATTCACCATCAATAGTCTTTTCATTATCTTCGGCATTTCATTTCATTTTCACGCCAGTAAATTTTACTTCAACCAAATCGTAATATTATCAATGATTCGCTCACTTCTCCCATCATTGAATCCACCATCAACAATCTATTCCTTCTTCTCAACAACATCATTATCCATCACCGAA